TGCCAAAACAAAATATAGAGATACAGAGAGAGAAACAGATAGACAGTGAAAAAGAAAGACACACACAGCCTTTAGAAAACACCATCTGCTGCATCTCTTATATGAGTTCCAGACAGCAAAAAGGACAGAAGCATCAAATAGCAAGTGCCACCTCTGCTCTCTCCTCCTCCAGTCCTCTCCACAAGCACCATGCGAAATGATGAAAATGACAGCAGCCAGCTTGATTGATGGGCCTATAGTCTATCACTTATCTATCATGTCTCTGTGATAGAACTACCCCCTCTTCTCCTCTCTCATCCATGTGTCATCAACTCACACTCAGCAGCTGTGTAAAGAGTGACTCAGTTTGGTGTAGCGATAGAATCTCATAATTTGCGTCAATAAACCTCTCCTGAGCACTTACTGGCTTCAGACAGGAGTTAGGACTGTAGGGCGATAGAACACATAAACTCACAAAGACAAGCTGTTTTTCGTTTGAGGGGCCGTTTGTCTGTAATAAACGCCACTTGATAACTCACCGGCCCTCTTTTTTAATTGGCAACAAGCCCACAGACCTTGGTCACCCCTGGATACGCTATTTTGCTTTGTTTGTCCCCAGATGAATCAACTACTTAAACACTATTTTTATGAAATAATCAATTATATACTTGTTGTCGCCAGTCGCCTACAAGTGGTTACAGGCACAAATAAAATTAATTAGCACAGAAAGGAGATATAACAAAGATAGCTAGCTTTTATTCAGTCCTACATTGTGTTGTTTATCAGAGCAGTGAAATTATTCTCCAATGCCAAGGAGAGAGAAAAGGCCTTTAATACACTTCTCTAGCTCAAGATGTGATTCGCTTCTAGTAGGCCAACTGTTGCCATGTGAATCACAAACCTAATGGTGTTTGTGTGTGCATGAGTGTGTGGATAGCATCTGTCGTATGTCTGCGTATAAGTAATTACCACTAATAAGCATTTATTAGTATGTAATTAAATGTTTATGGGTCGATGTCACAACACTGATAAGATGTGCTTGGGCATAAAGAATTGGAATAAGGCTGTTGTTGTTTGCTGTGGAATACGCATACACAGGACTGTAGCCTTTTTGTGTTCCACAGGGGCTGTTTTCTCTCCCTCTCCCCGCTCTCCTGCTGAGATAAACAGCCAGACAGATTGGACGATCAGAACGGGTTTATTTAGTTGTTAGATTACCCACCAGGCTTCTATCAGTCACTCTGACAGGGGGTACCTTTTCATTCCCCCTCCCATCCACAGATTTATAGCACCCATTTCCCCCACTAGAATCACACAGCAATAGTTATTTAAAGGCCCAGTGCACTCAAAATTATGTTTTTCCTGTGTTTGGTTTCCTATTGTACAACAACTGATGAAACTAAAATTGTAAAAGTGTGAAAAATTGTGATCAGCATTATTTCCTGATAGTTGCTGGTTGAAAATACAATCTACACAGGACATTGTCATCAGCCTGTTTGTATGGGCGGGAGCTTCGGCTTGCCTCAGGCAGTAAATTGGCCATTGGACCAGTAACAAAGAGAGTTCCAAACCTCTCTGCCAAGCTATACTGAACAAACATATAAACGCAACATGCAACAATTTCAGATTTTACTGAGTTACAGTTCATATAAAGAAATCAGTCAATTGAAATGAATCCATTAGGCCCTAATCTATGGATATTACATGACTGGGCAGGGATGCAGCCATGGGTGGGCCTTGGAGGGCATAGGCCCACTCACTTTGCAGCCAGACCCACCCACTGGGGAGCCAGGACCAGCCAATCAGAATGAATCTTTCCCCACAAAATGGCTTTATTACAGACATAAATACACCTCACCACCCCCACTCAGACGATGCCGCAGGTGAAGAAGCCAGATGTGGAGGTCCTGGGCTGGCATGGTTACACGTGGTCTGTGGTTGTGAGACCGGTTGGACGTACTGCCAAATTCTCTAAAACGACTTATGTTAGAGAAATGAACATTAACTTCTCATGCAACAGCTCTGGTGGACATTCCTGCAGTCAGCATGCCAATTGCACACTCCCTCAAAACTTGATACATGTGTGGCATTGTGTTTTGTGACAAAACTGCACATTTTAAAGTGGCCTTTTATTGTCCCCAGCACAATGTGCACCTGTGTAATGATCATGCTGTTTAATCAGCTTCTTGATATGCCACACCTGTCAGGTGGATGGATTATCTTTGCAAAGGAGAAATGCTCACTAACAGGGATGTAAACAAATTTGTGCACACAGTTTGAGAGAAATAAGCTTTTTGTGCATATGGACAATTTCTAGGATTTTTTATTTCAGCTCATGAAACATGGGACCAACACTTTACATGTTGCGTTTATATTTTTGTTCAGTGTAGTTTAACATTTTTCCCTCTTGAGTTTTTTGCAAAAAACTATTTTTGTCAATTTTAATGGGAAACTATTTGAGTAAGGTATTTAATTGTTAATCAGAAATTATTTTATATTAATATAAAAACGGCTGCATTGGGCCTTTAATGTCTGTGTTCACTCTGTCACTGGTGGGTTACTGAGTTTGGGTGGGAAATTGCGGGGAAACAAGATGAAACACTATTCCACCCACTTAACTGTTCTGGTGTTTACAGTTTAAGCACATGTAGCTATGGCTTTAAATGGTAGTTATGATTTTAATAGTCAAACACTCAAATGTACAGTCATGGTCAAAAGTTTTGAGAATGACACAAATATTAATTTTCACAAAGTCTGCTGCCTCAGTTTTTATGATGGCAATTTGCATATACTCCAAAATGTTATGAAGAGTGATCAGATGAATTTCAATTAATTGCAAAGTCCCTCTTCGCCATGAAAATGAACTTAATCCCCAAAAAACATTTCCACTGCATTTCAGCCCTGCCACAAAAGGACCAGCTGACATCATGTCAGTGATTCTCTCGTTAACACAGGTGAGAGTGTTGACGAGGACAAGGCTGGAGATCACTCTGTCATGCTGATTGAGTTAGAATAACAGACTGGAAGCTTTAAAAGGAGGGTGGTGCTTGAAATCATTGTTCTTCCTCTGTTAACCATGGTTACCTGCAAGGAAACACGTGCCGTCATCATTGCTTTGCACAAAAAGGCTTCACAGGCAAGGATATTGCTGCTAGTAAGATTGCACCTAAATCAACCATTTATTGGATAATCAAGAACTTCAAGGAGAGAGGTTCAATTGTTGTGAAGAAGGCTTCAGGGCCAAGAAAGTCCAGCCAGCGCCAGGACCGTCTCCTAAAGTTGATTCAGCTGCGGGATCGGGGCACCACCAGTGCAGAGCTTGCTCAGGAATGGCAGCAGGCAGGTGTGAGTGCATCTGCACGCACAGTGAGGCGAATACTTTTGGAGGATGGCCTGATGTCAAGAAGGGCAGCGAGGAAGCCACTTCTCTCCAGGAAAAACATCAGGGACAGACTGATATTCTGCAAAAGGTACAGGGATTGGACTGCTGAGGACTGGGGTAAAGTCATTTTCTCTGATGAATCCCCTTTCCGATTGTTTGGGGCATCCGGAAAAAAGCTTGTCCGGACAAGACAAGGTGAGCGCTACCATCAGTCCTGTGTCATGCCAACAGTAAAGCATCCTGAGACCATTCATGTGTGGGGTTGCTTCTCAGCCAAGGGAGTGGGCTCACTCACAATTTTGCCTAAGAACACAGCCATGAATAAAGAATGGTACCAACACATCCTCCCAACCATCCAAGAACAGTTTGATGACGAACAATGCCTTTTCCAGCATGATGGAGCACCTTACCATAAGGCAAAAGTGATAACTAAGTGGCTCGAGGAACAAAACATCGACATTTTGGGTCCATGGCCAGGAAACTCCCCAGACCTTAATCCCATTGAGATCTTGTGGTCAATCCTCAAGAGGCGGGTGGACAAACAAAAACCCACAAATTCTAACAAACTCCAAGCAATGATTATGCAAGAATGGGCTGCCATCAGTCAGGATGTGGCCCAGAAGTTAATTGACAGCATGCCAGGGCGGATTGCAGAGGTCTTGAAAAAGAAGGGTGAACACTGCAAATATTGACTCTTTGCCTAAACTTAATGTAATTGTCAATAAAAGCCTTTGACACTTATGGAATGTTTGTAATTATACTTCAGTATACCATAGTAACATCTGACAAAAATATCTAAAAACACTGAAGCAGCAAACTTTGTGAAGACCAATACTTGTGTCATTCTCAAAACTGTTGACCACGACTGTAGTGTAGCACTGCTGGATGACAATACAGAGAAAGCATATCTGTGTGTGTTGATGCTTTCAGTGACTGAAGTGATCCGATTGATCCCAATATGATTGTGATTGGTTGTATAATAAGGCACATAGGCTGTTGCCATTTTAGGAGTCGCTTTTCAGACATCAGTTTTAACTGCTATCAGTTTGTCAATTATTACCTACAGAGCCATTCTAACAGATTTCCACCCACAGCCTGTTTTTCAACAAACACAAACTAATATCTGAAGTGGCTAGATTAAATGTAGCCATAATTTTGCGGGCCAGGCAGCCCGATATGTCAATCAACAATTGACATTCCATAAAACGTCATATTCAAATGAATGATAATCTCCACTTAATTACTGCAAGAATTTAAATTTGATATATAAGAGTATGATGGAAAGGTCTAGCTAGCTGCCTATTGTACAACTCAAATCAACAATAAAGCAAAGATCAATCAACAAGATATCCGCTTCCCCTCGATGCAGCCCAATACTCAAGGTCATGTAAAATATTTGATTTTAAGAATATACATTTTGAATTGGGCAGAGTTGAGTTGGTCTGCCAGGACAATGTTGGAAAATAACAATTAATGACATGTTAAATAAACCTACAAGTTGAACTAGGATGTCCAACTAGCATTCGTTCATAGGTCCCGCTATAAGGAATATCCCGTTTCATGGTCAACTATTCCTAGAAGCAGCTAGATAGTCCTTCATTGTTTTGTTTTTTATACCAGGTAACAAAATGAAAGAAAATGTTTTATGTTTTACAAACAAAATATACTTTATTATCCCAAGACAAAGTTACAATGACTTGTCAGATACTCACTTTTTACAGAACACTCAGTTAGTATGCAGATTAAATGACAACTCACGACCTCCGCACCATAAAGTAGGGACTTGGGGGCCGTGCAAATAAGGTAATGCAGATGTGACTTCTCAAAAGCAGAGTTTATTACAGAAAGAAACCCATTAATGATATCACACAACCTGCAGTACCACCTCATTATTAGCTTTGAAAAGGTGCTAGCCCCATCCACCAACTCGTCTAAAACAAAAGAGAAACCAAATTCATCCATGCTATGAGACCCCAAATTCATTCCACACATAGATGAGCACTTTGGCAGAAAACATTGTCAGACTTTTTTTAAATGTAGATTGTTGATATACTAGCTGTCGTAGTTATGTACCACTGATATGGTGCTGGTTGTTACCGAGACATCAGTAGAGATATACATGTGCAAATGCACAACTCGCACAAGAACACAGAGCAAGTAGTGATATTAGAGATAGTCTTAAATTGGACAAATGATAGATTATTTGATTCTGATGAAAACCCTAACATGAAACTAGGGAATAAATAAAGACAAGGAGGGGCAATATATCACTGGGGAGTAAAGGGATTCCTTTCCTTGACCGTCTGTGAGCACAATCGTCATCGTCCACATTACTGCTCTTAATCTGAATCATATAGAATCCTGCTGGACCCTTGAAGGGGAAGAGGCTGGATAAGCAGATCACTTCCTTGGCTGGGCAGCTATGTAGAGAGCCATCAGGCAGTAGAGGGTCCCTCCGATGGTCAGGCCCATGGTGGTCCTGTACAGCATCTTGTCCATCAGGCCTCTCTTCAGGTGCACAGGAATACCATCAGACTTCTGCAATGTAGACAGAATAAAGAGAATGAGAAATTTGATAGCAGTCCCCAACTCCCCACTGTGAGTCAAAGGAGGGAATCTTGAGACATGTCATATTTTATTCAAGTCCAAACTTTATCATTGCTCACAACTTCTCTGCAGGGACAGAGGAGTGTATAACTTCCTAGGAAACTAGTAGGAATGCAACTGTATCAGTGCAAGTACATTTTGGCAGTGAAAGTTCATGGTCAAAGTAAATTACCATAAGAGTAGACGATCGCTTTATCATCTTCTAACCAAACAAACCAAGGTCAAGTAGGAAAAACTCCCACACAAGCTTACTAGGGTTATTGGGGTTCTGTGATTATCACAGAACCCCAATGACCCTAGGAAGCCGATAAGCAGTGTCTGGGTCAAACAAAGGTTAGGGCAGTGTCTGTACCTGGAAGAGTTTTTGTAGGTCAGGGACTTTGTTGTGTCCCAGGTACTCCACCGTGTTCCCTGCCTCCGACACATATTTGGTGGGGGTGGCAAAGATCATTGGGGGGGCCTCCATGGGCACTGTTACCCGCAACCCCTGGAGAGACAACAAAACTTTAGACTGTGGAAACCACATGACCCAAACATCCACAAACACATAGGACCAACTATCAGTGTTCGGCCTTTATGCATTTAGCAGCCGTGCACTGCCGTTGCTAAATCGTGGCCGCCACTGAAAAAATAAATACATAATGTAGATGTATGCCCCAGGAAGACCCCATCCAGGCGAAGTCGTCTCAAAACTAAAGTGACTTATGTTAAAGGGATACTTTGGGATTTTGGCAATGAAGCCCTTTACCTATTTCCCCAGAGTCAGATGAACTCATGGATAACATTTGTATTTCTCTGTGTCCAGTATGAAGGATGTTAGAGGTCGTTTTGCAAACCAATGCTAACTAGCGTTAGCACAATGTTAGGACGTCCATGGTAACAACGTCTATGATAACAGCTAGCACACTAGCTGTTACCATAGACCTCCAGTCATTGTGCTAATGCTAGTTAGCAACTTCCTTCAAACTGCACGCAGAGACATAAAAATGGTATCCATGAGTTAATCTGAGTTTGGGGAAGTAGCTAAAGGGCTTCATTGCCAAAATCCCAAAGTATCCCTTTAAGCACTTGGAGAAAGGAGTAGGAGTCTGGCGTTTTCACATGCAAAAGTGATTGCGTTTGATAACGCTTTATCTGCCTTCCCAATAATTATATTTTCAAAATTAGTTATGGAAAAGAGATGCATGTTTCTGAACAATACATCATATTGCCTTGTTGACAACATGACCAACTGGCACAGATAACTGTTGAATTTGAGAAGGGCGTTCCTCTCATACCGCTTTTGCTGTTGACCGGTAGTGTAAACTGTTGACCGGTAGTGTATACCATACATGTGTATCCCGCACGACTAATAAAACTTGAAACTGAAACTACCGCCGGTAATCCAGAATGGTCCATGCTATCCGGGATCCTTGGGACATCCCTACTCCCCATTGAAGTTGAAATGTAAAATGGTTGGGTTAAGGTTAGGGTAATGCCGCGTTCAAAACACCTGGGAACGCTGACATCTCTGACTTCCAAGCGTTCAAGACAACTGGGAACTCTGGGGGAGGGAAAAAAAAACAAGCTCTGACTGGGAAAAATCATTTTGAACGGTCTAGGGCTGACCCCAATTTGACTGGTCGATTGTTTAGTCGTTAGGCTGTTGGTCGACCGAGATTGTGTGTGTGTTACATTACTAAAAAACACACAAACACACACACACACATATTTGCGGCCATCTCAGTTAACTAATCCATTGTAGAGACTAAAAGCCAGTTTATGCTTGATCCGAAAATGTGGTCGGAGGTGACAATTACAGAGCCTCCAGAGGCATGCAGAGGCCAAATCGAGCTCTGTACCGCATCGCTGTGCGCTTCCCAAATTTTGTAACAATGCGGAGGGCTCTGTATAGCTCCGCATTGACATGATTGGTTGACGGCAGGTGGGGGCCGATACATCCTGTATAAAGACAAAATCACTTCCTTGAAAACAGCTCTCCACTGCTCCACAAAGCACAAGAAGTATGATGAATGCCCTGACTTCTGCTGAGGCCATATCACCGTAAATGCTGTATGGCCAATGAAGACATCGGATTGCGCTCTCTCCCGCCAATTTGTCCACATTCATTGTTTGATAACTTCATTGTGTGAATTGTTTGCGTTTGATTGTTAGTGTATATCAATTCCCCATTACATATATCACCAGTAGTACATGTACCGTTAATTCCTAATCTACAACGTTTGTTACTTTGGTTATGGTAATTTCTTCTAATGCATTCAATATTATTATTCCAGTCTTCCCCTTCTCATTGTCTGAGTGGACACATTGTGTGCAGAGTGCACAACCTATGCTACACTTGTGGAAAACAAGTTTTGGTTTATTTCATTCCATTTACGAGTTGTCAATTTAGTCATTGTCTTTTGTTTGGAGCGCTACTGTCAATGTTGTGTAAGGACGCACACCTGATTACACATAGAAGTAGGCCTATAGGCTACCTGGCCTGCGGGCAAATGTAGGCATATAAAATGTGCCCATTTGGGGATCTGATAGTATTTCTGGATTGGCTTAACACACCACCACTAATGACCTGTGGAGCTTCTCAAAGTAATGTTTTCTTCACCTCAAACAGCAAGCAAACTAAGTCTGTTTTTACAACCATTGATAATTACAATAGTTCCTCAATGTATTTGAAAAATCTTTACCACCCTCTCCTTTTCGATAACCACTCAGCGTGAAAGGGAAAAATGTCATGCTCTGATCCAGTGTAAACGTCATAAAATAGGCCTACCTGATTACTTCTTAATAGTGCTCGACTTGCACTGAAATAGGTTCTGGTACTTATTTTGGGTGCTTGTAGTTTATATTTAGGTGCAGGAGCGCCACAATACTTCTGAACTAATATCCTATAAGAGGAACAGGAGCTCAAGCAGTAGAACATTTGAGATGCCGGTACTCAGCTCCAGTGAGCTCCTGCCCAAGTCAAGCACTGCTTCTTATTCCTTGCGCAAATAGCCTACAGCTGGGTCTGTCCTTAGCTCACTGGCATGGGAAACTGAGGGCCCAGAATATTTTATACAATGTGGGCTGGCCCCAAGTTAATAGTTGATACAATAGTGCTAGCAAAGAGAATGCCGAATGGGTTTGAATGTGAGACGTCACTAGTAAACCCCTTCCCGTAGTGTATGGGATCCTGTTGTGTGCTTAAAACAAGTATAAGAAAGGTTAGCTGTGCACTAGATGCTAAGCTAACAAAGGGAGAGCAGCCATTTTGTTTTTCCTGTGTCACATTGAAATCCCCGTCTTGGGCGGCGGAAGTCCCGCCCCTCTGTACTCCCGTTCGAGTTCAGCTTTCTGCGATCAGTGACCCCTAGTGGTGAAAAAAATAATATTCTATGTGAGGGCAAAACGTGTTCTTATAGTGTGTAACTACAGGCTACACTTATGATACCCAGCCAAACTCAACTGACTGGATATCATTGTCTCATTCAATTTAATAAGTTAAATTGCCGAACATACCTTTTCAGGTTGATCATTCGGATAAGATCCAAATTGATTTGGTTCAACAAAAGGAGACAATTTTAAACTTTTCCATATTAACCTAGATAAAGCAACGCTTTCAGGTTAATTAAAGTTTAATTCCCAAATAGCAAATACAGGTATGATTAATCATTATCATTGATTAATCACCTCAATTTGCTTTTGCAAATTAATTCACGTCCAAATCCCACATTACTGATGCAGTATTGATCCATTCAAACAAATGCTTCTGTTGAACATGTATCCCACCTTCATTACCTACTTGGGTCCTACAGCCCACGTTGGTTTGCCAATCTCAGAACTCAGAGAGCTTGCAAGCACAGCTTTTGAGGCATCAAAGAGAAATAAAGAACCGGAGAGAATATGATCAACAGGAAAAAGACAAGTCACTATGACTAGAAGTGGAATTGCCGGACAACAGGTCCGCCAGAATTAACACCCTTAGCAAGGACGTTAACAGTCAAATTACTCCCGCTCATTCCACTCGAAACCCAATAAGTCCATCTGTTTTCACCATGAACAGAAATTACACATCACGTCATTGCGAACGACCACTCCACTTTGTGGGGAATATGACCACAAAACGTGACTCAAACAGCCCATACCTGGAAACCTGTCATGCGCTAATTGATTCGGGCTCAACAATAACGCTCATCTCTCAAACGTTGTTCATTGATCTCAAAAGGGCTTTGAACCCAGCTAAACGTTTGTTGAAAACGGAAAGATGCAATACTTCACTTCGAGGTTTCACCCAGACTACCCTCGCCTCTCACAATGAAACTCATGCTGAAACTACACTTCCAAGACGTATCGCTTGTTCACCCGGTGTATGTTACCATCCTCGAATGTGAACCCCTACTACTTGGAGTAGACTTGATGGATCGGTTGACCCCACTGATGGATGGGAAGACCAACCAAGTATGGTCACAGGCAACCGTGCCGTCTCCACTGACCATACTTTCGTCTCCTACCGCTGACTGTGACACAGTCATCCACAAAGAGCATATATCAAAAGAACCCCATTCGAAAAAGATGTCTCGACACTTCTCTGTGAAGCATCTGACCCAAGGAGATATTACAATATCTCGTCACATTCAATCAGCAAACCTGATTGACCAGTCCTTTCATGATTTCAAGCCAGCAGTCTCTGTGAATGAGCCACTTCCCTCCTCCTTGGAGTCATGCGATACTGTAGCTGAGATTAACTTCTCGTCCTACGGACACTTCCGCAAGCACTTCGGCCGTCTCAGGAATAAAAGCAGAGTGTACTCTGCTTCCGATGTTATATTTTCCGCTTTGAGGGGGACTGAAACCCCTTACAATGAAACTAACGGCGTCAGTCCTGCAACTGACCCGATGACTCCCACCGGTGAAACGCTGTGCCATATCGCAGAAAGATATCCTTGTCTCAGTTCGCAGGTACTGGAATGGTCGCCACACGCAGACGCTGTGGTGACAGACAGGCCACGACAGCCACTGAGCGTTTTCAAGCACAAACACCAGGAGATTTGGTTGAATGGTTACTAACTACGTGGCTACTGACAACTCGTACAAAGGGTCCGACCTTTTCATTTGTGCCTTGGACACCAACACCCACCGCTGGTGGGGGAGGGGGGGGGGGGGATACTAGCCCAGACCCATGATGAGCCTCGTCGAGGCCGGTGGGGTCGAGAATATGTGCAACACTGTACGAGACCGCCAGAGCAGGAAACACATCTAGTTGCAAACTTTCCCATGAGAACAGAGAGAAGCGGACAAGCCCCTCGACGGGGATAACCTTAGAACACATCTGAGACATCACTGAGGTCTACCACACTGGTCGTAAAAGACCACCTCCAAAACAAAAGGCAACAATAATCATTCCTTGCCATGTGTAGTTTCAACTACAATGCAACTAGTAAAATGCTCTAATCATGTATTCCGGTAGGATAACATTTCAGAATAAAATCGGTAGGATAACTGGTCCCCTTG